TTCCCCAGACCCCGATATATTATCATTCGTTCAATTTTGCTCGGCGCGTGGTACAATGCGTATAATCCATTATATTATAGAGTTATCTATATGCATAAGTGGTATGTCTGGACGATACGCTAGCTCGCGTATACCTCATTTTCTCCTATCGTTCACAACGCACATACAAACGCATAAACGCGCACGTACAGACACTCACTTGTTTACGTACACTCTTTTTCTCACTCTTTCTCTCTTTCGCGCATGTAGAAGCATACCAACACGTGCACGCGCGCACTCCTCGTTCATGGAAGAATAATAAATAAAAACATTCGCGATGCGTTAAACGTACAAGTTCGTCAAAATTCGATATCGTTCTCGATTTAAATGCAGCTCTTGTACTTGATGCAATTCACTTTCGCTCCCACTGACACTCACACATGTCGTCCATCAGTGGGATCCTGTATTTTTCTAGTCCAATCTTCGCTTCTTTCAGTCACAGAGATAGCGTACAAGACACTTGGCGTGTCATCTCTGAAAATTTCCGCTCAGAGCTCCGGTGTGACCGGATCCAGCAGCCTCTTCTCCGGGTCCTTCGAGTCGCCTATGTCGCTGGTAATGGGATGATGCCTGCCGCCGGCACCGCTGGTCGCGCTCGGATTACATCGGCAGCCTTGCGCAGCGTGACGGGCGTAGCACGACTCGCAAAGAGTAACGCAGCCTCTCAAGGGCCAGTAGCACAACAGACAAGGCATCAAGAGCGTCAGAAAACTCAAGCAGGCCCATCTGGAAGCTCTGCGGTTACCAGTACAGGAACACGGCTCATCCGCGCAACTCATCGTGATCTCGTCGTCCATGCCGCTGGCGACGCCTCCACCGCTGCCCCCATCCACGCAATGATAGAAGAGACCTTTGACGCAACACAGGCAAGATGCGTAGTCTAAAACTGTCTCGGCCGAGCACAGGCATGTATTGTCGCATAGCCATTTGCTGGGCAACGGGGGTGGCTCTCGACATGACTCGCATCGGCATTTGCCGCAAAAGTCGCAAATGATGGATAGGCCGGCCGGATCGTAAGTCCTCGCGCCGAGAGCGTTGGCTGGCTCCTTGGTAAAGGACACTGGCTGCTTGGTGATGATGTTCTCTCCCGTTGCATTAGCTGTTGACGTGGCAACAGAGGCGCCGGTCGTCGTGGCACGCAAGCCCTGATTCCTCGCGCGACCGCGCGTTCGATGAGTCGGTACTACCGTGGCATCCTCGTGACCCCGATAATTATGATGATGATGATGATGATGATGATGATGCCTCCTCTCGCTCTTCGGACAATCGCCGACGGCCTTGCTGTCAGCGTCAAGGCGTCGTTCCTGATTGCAACGCGAGTGCTTGAACGGCGCTTCGACGTACTCATTGATGATCCTCTCGCCGTCTGGTCGCGGCGCGGCGAGGCTCACCACCTCGCCGACAGGACTCCTGGGCGACAACGCGATTGTCGTCGTCGTCGTATCCGTGGACGACGGCGACAGCAGACTCCTGGAATTTGCGTCACCCGGTGACTCGACGTTCTGCGGACGACGCAAAGACGACGGTCTGCTCCGGAAGGAACTCGATAGCGGTGTCAGAGGCATGGTAGGAGATACCGCTGCCCGGAACGTTGGCGTCCCGGGTGCCGACGACACTGTCGTCGTTACGTTATCCGACACCGGCGGAGGCGGCGGAGGTGGCGGCGGTGGCACGGACGGTACCGACGTTACCGGGTGCACGAGCGGTAATCGCGGCGGCGGGAACGGTCGACTATGATCGTGCACGCGAGGAGCCTCGGCGGAGACGAGGCGCGAATCCGCATCTTCGCCGGCACTACCGATACAATCGTCATTGTCGGCGGCGAAACCGCCGACAGCCGCGCCCGCGGCAATGTTCGTTCGCGAGGAAGGAGGCCGCGAGAGCGGCGGTATCGCATTATTACGTGACATCGGCCGACCGCTCAGTTCAAGATGACCTGCTGCTCCTGGACTATGCGTAGCTGACGTCTCCAAGTGACGTTGCCGCCGATAATCCTGGCACTGCTGTTGCCGATGCTCCACCTTCTTCGTCGCCTCCAGCTCCTTCCTCTCCTCGATCCAACAATGCTCGAGACGGATACCTGCTGCGCTAACTGATCCCCCGGCTCTTCGATCCGCTGCGAAGAACAATCCTTCTTGTGTGTTTGATACCGTTGCTCCTGCTGCTGCTGCTGACAACGATGGTGATAATGACGCTGTGGCACGATCCGTCCAAACCGATGGCGTCCGCTCGCTAGCCCATCGTTCGACAGCCGTCGACGGTGTACCTGGAACCGATGGACTCTGACTTGACGTTGGAGTAAGTGTCGCCTCGGTAATCCGCACTGCCCAGCCCGCGCGAGGTGGTGGCACTCTCGACGAGGACGTTCCATTAGCGAGGATGGGGCTCGGTAATGCTCCGCGTCCGCTTCCTCTCGCCCTCGCGACACGCGCTTCATCCCCACCTGAAACCATTGCAACCAAGAACGTTGTCTTATATGCACGTCTGCAGATATTTTTTTTAAATAGCCAAGTCTTATAGAAACTATCTTTCAAGTACATACATTAGTACTTGTATACATATGCATATCGATTATTTTTCTTAAATATACTCCTTCCATTAAATAATATTTCTCCAAGACGAGTAAAGTTTAAGAGAGAAAGACAGTTGAATAAAATATCATTAATAAGAGATAATTAAGATACTTTTAGACATAATAGTAGGCAGTGTTCAATCCATGTTACTCCAAACATGATAATTCTAGTTCTAATCGCGCCTGATAAGTTTCTGAAAACCAAAGAAATCTGAGGACGGTGTAGCTGAGTTAACGACGACAAAGTACAGTGAGGCGTCGTCGGGTCAGCACCTACCTACGCTAAAAGAGGTTTGGTTTCCACGTGGGCGAACGCGGTATGAGTGGGCCGCCAAGTTCTCGATTCGGTGGTCACCAACCCACTCGTGTAGCGCCCACGATCCCTGGTACGGAAGAACCAGGAGAGCTCATCGAGAGCTCTCTCGTTTGAGCACGACCGATCGCGCCCTCGCCTCGACAACGAACGCATGCGTTGCTTTTAATCGAGACAATATCCCCGAATATATTTCACTTTTACACTTTTAAATCAGAATAGAGGAAAAAAAGTATGACTCTATCTTATTATATGCATTATCATTATAAAACTGTTCGACAACGTCGAAAAAGATTTACGAAGGATGTATATAACTCTCTTTGTATAAAAATGAGAAAATTGAGAATCGAGTATTCCGGAGCTTGAGAGTCGAGAAGGCGTTAGTTTCCGAAAGCAAACTCTTGAATTAATTCTAGTTCTAATCGCGCCTGATAAGTTTCTGAAAACCAAAGAAATCTGAGGACGGTGTAGCTGAGTTAACGACGACAAAGTACAGTGAGGCGTCGTCGGGTCAGCACCTACCTACGCTAAAAGAGGTTTGGTTTCCACGTGGGCGAACGCGGTATGAGTGGGCCGCCAAGTTCTCGATTCGGTGGTCACCAACCCACTCGTGTAGCGCCCACGATCCCTGGTACGGAAGAACCAGGAGAGCTCATCGAGAGCTCTCTCGTTTGAGCACGACCGATCGCGCCCTCGCCTCGACAACGAACGCATGCGTTGCTTTTAATCGAGACAATATCCCCGAATATATTTCACTTTTACACTTTTAAATCAGAATAGAGGAAAAAAAAGTATGACTCCATTATTATATGCATTATCATTATAAAACTGTTCGACAACGTCGAAAAAGATTTACGAAGGATGTATATAACTCTCTTTGTATAAAAATGAGAAAATTGAGAATCGAGTATTCCGGAGCTTGAGAGTCGAGAAGGCGTTAGTTTCCGAAAGCAAACTCTTGAATTCTTCTACTCTACGGGAGAGAGCCACTCCCGTATTACGTTAGGCGCGTTCGAACCTGCATTCGAAATGTGTCTCGTTGCCATTGGATTATACGTACACCTGAGCGGCAATGCCATATAATTGAAGAATAGATACAAGATTCTCTGGGCGCGTTCAACTTTCGAGTCGCGTCGATTATCAAGTTCGTCTTCCAAGAATCGTGTATATATGACGACATCATTAATCGTGGATGCGAGTTTCCTTCACTTTAGCTGTTATCAGTCGCTCCGCTTCGTCGTCTCCCTGGTATAAAGCGCGCGCGATCGCGTCGATCCTCCTCGAAATCTCTCGAATCGTGGATTTAATTTATCGGTTTCATTTACAGTGTACGTTTTATCGCCGCATACGGCAACGAGCATACTCGAGATGCGCTTTTCTTAAAAGAATCAACAACTTCTCGCGCTCAAAAAATCGTGCAAAATTTTTCGCAGATTTATAATTCGTGAAAAATACATTACACGCTTCATTTATAAATCATCGTAAATGCCTCTTATTCACTCTCGAGCATTATACAGACAGTAGGTAGCGGCTCTCGCTTGTTGCGGCGTCGAGAAACAGGCGGGCCATTCAGAAAGGGTGCGCTCCAAGTGGAATGCGCGGGTCGGCTATCGTCGACCGACTGCCATAGGTCAAAGCTTTTAGCCGGCCGTCCGCACCGCGCAGATAAGACGAGCGTTTCGCGAGCGAGCGGCCGGTGAGCTTCGACTGTACGTACGTACAACCACACTGGGGAACGCCGTACTGGATGGCTCCCTTCTCTCGGCTGGTTATTATAATTTTCTAGTATTCGAAACGTTGCGAAAATCTCGATTGACCCGCGTCCACAATCGCAAATATTATCTTTAATCGGATGCACTATATAACGATTGTGTAGGAATGTATATCAGTCGAACATAATTTCATAAATTGCGATTTCGAGTAACTCTTTATAAATTCTTCAATTTCCCTTTTAACATGGTAATCATTCGATTTATAACAATTTCATTCGCGCGATTAAAGCATATAATCGATAAATACGTGTCTTGCAGTATTTCATATTCATTTGGGAATTTTGTAAAATATTGTAGCGATTTGAAAAATGTAGTATACTCGCTTCGTATCTCGATCCAATCGATAATTCTCTCCCGCAGCAATTTTGTAATTCGCGGCAACATTCGAGTTATTTCATCGCAGATATATTGCCTTTGCGGATTTTCCCGGTAACGATTAAATGAATACTGAATCGATCGCGCCGTGCGTAAAATGAAAGGAGTTCGTAGAAAATTTCCGATAAATGAATCGATGACAGCGCGATGATTGCACGATACGTATCCGCGTACAACACTCACACAGGCGCGCACCTTTATCGAGTCACTAATACGAGTTATGGCGCGCAAAAGAAAAATGGATCGCTTTACAGCTTCTCCGAGCCCGAAAATATTAATATGTTTTCGTATAATTATCTATTGTTTTCGAGATAAAATTTGTATATTTTTTATAATTTTATATATATATATATCCTTTTTCTAATAGATTTTTTCTTTATAAATTTATATGTGCATTGTGTCCTCTTTTTTGTAGATAATGTAGATAAATAACTATAATCCTTTATGCAAAAGAAGAGTTAGTTTAACAATAAACTGCATATGCGAAAATAATTCTGCAGACATATAAACTTATATTTGAATGTTATTTATAGTTGGTATATGTATATTCATAAGAAGCACAAGCTTCTCGTTTCCTAATTTTAAATCGAGCGAGCGAAGCAAAAAGCGTGATATTAGGCGAATGCACGAGTTGTGGCATCGCGCGGAATAAACAGTTTTTAATGCTAGTCGGAAATGTCGACGATAAGACCGGATGAGTTCTTCCTCCGATATCAGTTTTCTCTGCGGTTTAGATATGTACAACCAACGAAAATCGCCGCACTAACAAGTTTTGATTATACACACCGATAAGAAGAAAGAATTTCGGAATATTTACGAAACGTCTTCGACCGTGAACCATAAGAATTCGTGTGAAGCAACATTATCGCAAAATTTTTGCAACTATTCCGTAAGACACGATAAATTATCCAGTTTTGAGCAGAATAGAATCTTATAATGTATTAGCTCCTTATATAATATAAGATTCTATTATAATAAATATAATCGAATCTTATATCAACACAAATGTAACAATGTTAATTTTTTATCAAGTCGGAAAAATTACGCGTTTAAAAAATTTTACAACCTTTTAAAAAAGCTAAATTATAATTCGCATAAAGTATAATGTTGTCTAAAATTTTTGTAAAATCATAGCAAACTTTCGCAAATATAATTGACCGTTTATGGATTTTTATAAGAAAGGGAGAAAAATATAAATATATATTCAAAACTTCAAGTGCAATTTCTACTTAAAATTCATATGCTTCTAAGACTATTTATTTTAGATTACGTAATTTTACTTACAACAGCACCTTATATATATGAATACGCGTACTCGAGCCTACCGAGACTGGCCAATGCTAAAACATAAAGCTTCTTTGATACGCAAACTCATCAGTCTCCGACGTTTAATATAGTTGGCTTTTAATTCCGTTCGGAAACGAGCGCGATAAGACCGGATGCGCGTTCTTCCTCTCCCGTTATCTGTTTCTCCCCGCGTGTTTCATACGTAGCATGATCCGTTAACGAGTTTACGCGCGACGATAACGCACTTCTCTTTCTTTCTCCTGCGCTCAATCTCACGGGTGCGCGTAAAAAATTCATGCGACAAATATCTCGTGAAATCCGTGAAACTCGCCGATTGCCATTTTTTATTTAGCGCCTTACGTGATATCCCGCGGTGCGGGAGCGGTGTGTTATAATCAGGGTCGAGACCATACTCGCGCGATACGTCGAGGAAATTTTTCGTTCTGGCATCCGTCTGAAAGCGCAACACTATAACCGCGCGGTGACCAAGATTTATATAAATTCCACATTAACGAGCGCCAACGTTGATTAGTGTCGCAATCTGCCTTATATTTCATTATTAACATTAATCATTTTTAACTATATATATAAATCTCTCCTTTGCGCATTATTATACGTGATGAAACCAAGTCTGCGATTTCAAATCGCCTAGAGACATTTACGATTAACTTCAAACTCGAAATTTATGGCGTTATTATCCAAATTCTAAACTTGCGTATACGCTGTGAAAAAAAAAAAAAAAAGATAAATCAGATAACTAGTTAATTATTCAACTAACGTTCGACTGACTTTATAACTCAGTAATTGCTTTGTAGAACTTTATAGTTGCAACTTTGATATATTACCGGATGTACATCCGGTCTTCTAATAGCGATAACGAATTAATCGTGAAAGAAAATTCTATCTTAACTCGGAAATTTTGAAAAAATTCGAATAAAATTGATATCTCGATTGCGAGTTGCCCTAGATTTCGTCGGATGTATATCGATTGATAGATTCGACAAACTTGTCATACAACCGTAATTAACATTGAAACAGTTTTGAATTTATATAATATAGAGATAGACGTTCCCTCCTTCTTCAATTGTACTAAGAAATAATTTTTATAAATCGCTGAATTTTCG